GCCGCCGCCACCACCACCGTCACCGCCTGCGGGTGGCCAGGGGCAGTCACCTGGCAGCCCTGTGCATCGGTCCCTCTGCTCCCAGGACCTGCACCCGAGCGCGCGGCGGGAGAACATGGCCGGGCGGCAGAGAGGCGCGGGGCGTCTCTGGGCTCTGGGCGGCGCCGCGCTGGGGGCTGGCCTGGCGGGGGTCGCCACGCAGCTGGTGGAGGTGAGGCACCGCATCACGGAGGGCGCAGGATGCTGGCACTGTCCAGGCGGCGGTGGGGTTAGGGACAGAGGGTGCGGGGAGCTGGCTCTATCCCTTCTTCTTGGGTGGTGGAGTGATTTGGCCCCTTGCCCTTCACGCTTAGAAAGAGTCCCTGGTCTGATGGCAGAGCACAACCTCTGATATCACGGACACAAGGAGTCTCCGTGTGTCCGTGTGTGGAGGGAGACAGCCTTGGGGTCCGGTCTTTGTTTTCCTAGGGGATGGGGAGAGGGACTTTCAGCTCTTAGTTTTCTTTACTTCTAGTCTAATGGGGGATATTTGGATCCTGGATTTAGGGTATGCTGGGGGAACTGCCCTTTCTCTACACAAACCCTCCAGGGCCCCTACTGAAGATAGGACCCAGGGACTGGAAGATCCAAACAGGTCCCAGTGACTACGGGAGCTGTAGACGGTGTCTGAGCAGACACATCACATCCGAACAGTTCCTGTTTGGAAGAAGAGGATAAATGAAGGGGGCACAGAGTGGGAGAGCTGGGGGGAGACTTCGCAGACAGAAGGTGAAGAAGATGGGTGGGGCAAGCTGGTCAGGAGCTGGTCTGGGGACTCCTGCAACCTCTCCAGTAGGAGGTAGCAGAATAGGCTTAGGAGTCAGGAGCTGGAGGCAAAGGGGTGAAGGCCCAAGAGCCAGCGACAAGGACAAGCAGAGGGTGGAGTCTGGGTGGACAGGGCATGATGGAGGCCTGGGAGGCAGTTACTAAGGGACAGGGTGGGATAGGGGAGACAGAGTCAGTCATACTCGGAGGGTTCTAAGGGGACATAGCTTTGAACTGAAGGGGCTGAGCGTGGCATCTCATGGCATAGAGACCTGTACCCCTGTGTGGGGCATGTACCTTCTGCAACTGACCAGGGCTGTGGAAGAGGCTGTTAGAGTCAGGTATCAGCTTCAGTCTGCTGTAAGGGAAGCCAGGCTGGCCTGAGCCCCATAGAGCACTCTACAGCTTCTTACCAACTGCCCTGAGGCCCCTGTACAGAAACTGAGCTGTCCTCAGAGCCAAGGCTGGGGCACCAGGCAAGTCAATTGTTCTGAGGCAAGGAGTTTCCCCACTGCTAGGAGATCATCTTCTCCCAGCTCAGCAGAGGAAATCACATTTGGAGTCCATCTGCTTACATCTCATGCAAGGCTTAGCCCTTCTTTCCAAGGAAGCATGAGAAATACCGGCAGGGCTGGGAACCACGTCACTTCTCAGGCCAACCCTCTCCACTAGGCTGTGCCTCCAGGTGTCAGATTTTTTTACCTTTATCAGAGCCTACCATAAGATGCCTGGCTGTTGCCTGTTGCCCTTTACCCAAGAGCCTGGTCAAAGTCTCCCAGTTAGACAACCAGGCCAACACAGCAGGCCTGTGAGGCAGGGAACAGTAACTGCCAAGCCCCCAACTCTGATGCTGCAGTCTCCAACCTGAGCACATACACATTGCTCCAACTACACATATACTCTCTGCCTAGTTATATGTGCCCACACACGTCATGTATCCACAGGGGTTCCTCAATCCACAAGGGATGTTGCTGATTTAGTGGGGTGTTATTGCCAGTTATGCCTTCAGATAGGAGCATTCTCAGAGGCAGCTGGCAATATCTAATTATGTGGAGAGAAACAGAGGTCCAGAAGGAGCCCCCATCCTAGTCCCTTAGTGAGGAACAAAGAACTGGGAGTCAGGTACTAGTCTACAGCTCAGAGATTCTGGTGTGCATGGCATAGACCAATGATGCCCTGTGGGTGGCAGTTGTTAGATGAGGAAGTACCTGGTTCCTGGTAGGTGCCTATCCATGTTTATGGACCACAGCGGAGGTTGAGTAACAGGTGGCTTTTCTTTCTCAGATAGCCACAAGGGATTCTTCAAGCCTGTCCTTGCTGATCATTTAGGAGACAACCAACGTATTGCACAAATGCCTGGTCCCACCCCCTTCCTTGTCCCTTAGCCAAACTTGCTGACAGAGACAGGGTCATACCTCTGGTCAAAACTAGCCTCTCATATTCCACAAGACACTCAGGACAAAGTCATGTACCCTCGAGACACCCAGGACAGGTTGAGAATGAAACTAAGTTGGTAGAGTGTTGACCTAGCACATACAAAACTGGCTTCAATACCCAGCACAGCATCTATCAAAACAAACAAAGTCATGTGTTCCCTCATTCCCCCAGAGAAGACTGCTTTTTCTAGAAACCCAAGGCAAGATACTATCTTTTAATACCCTAGAGCAAGTTCCCTTAGACCCGAGGCATCTCTATGCCTTCTAGAAAACACAGACATGACTGTTCCCTAACCCAGGATTCTCAAAGCAGAGTGGAATCCTCCTTAGCCACACTTACATCTTTTAACCACCTGGTGGCGCTACATCACTATCTTTCTATGCTTAGCCTGGCTGGCCCAGCCTTCTTGTGGTTATGGGTTTTAGTGGGACAGGAAGGAGTCAGTGTGTGGACACCTGTATGAGGAGCGTCTAGCTCATGTAGCCCAGCAGTAGAGCTCCATTGGGAGATGAGAACAAAGCCAGGCTACCCGGGCAGCACACCTGGCCCATGAAACAGGTCTTGCCTTGTCTCTGGACTTGGTCTTGAGACCCCATCAGAGTGGGCTGGGTCAGGCCTGTCTACAGCCTCCTTTGAGCTTTGTTTCCCCAAGCATCAACCACTCTTCTGGTCCGAGTGCCTGGTGCCATGGTTGGAACTCTGAGCACTGCCTTTGTTCTAAATCTGGAACTTTCTGAGGTCTAGGGTGTTGTTTGTAAATGTCTGAGACATTTTGGGGATTCTAAAATGTGTGGGCTGAGTCCTTGCTGCCCCCATCCCAGCCTGTGGGCCTGTGTCTGGTTCACTCCTTTCTCTGTTGACCCACAGCCCAGCACGGCCCCGCCCAAGCCCAAGCCGCCCCCACTGACCAAGGAGACGGTGGTGTTCTGGGACATGCGCCTGTGGCACGTGGTGGGCATCTTTTCGCTCTTCGTGTTGTCCATCAGTGAGTAGCCACGTCCTGCTTTCCCCACCCATCACAGGAGGATCACAGCCCCTCTACACCCCTGGCCCCCTTCAGTACCTCTTGAGTTCAGAGCACCAATTCCAGGCAGTTCAAGTAGGCCAGACACTCACAGGAGGCCTACCATGGTCTCTGGCACCTTCTCACTCACACAAAGTCCCTGTGAAGGGATGACGGGCCAGTGGTGACCCATAGATTTCTGCTGGACCCAGGGAAACAGCCACATGGCAATTATGTTAATTATAGGGGACTCCGCTGAATCCAGGACATGTCATCTTTCCCTATGGCTGGCCTCCTGATGCTTTTCTTGCAGTTTGGCCAATTCAGAGAGCCCACACCCAGGGGCCCCAGCAAGGCCAACCTCCACCAGAGGCTCCCCAGACGCCTAGCAGATGTGGCTTCCAGGCCCTGAATCCTACCTCCTCAAATGCCATTTTCCAGAAATGATTCATGCCTACTTGCTTTCAAAGCAGGGGGTCCGTTCTGCTCCTCCAGTCTGGACTCCCATTGATGCAAAGATGTAGCTGAGGGGACTTTGGCATGCACCCATCTGTCCCTTTCCCAGTGTGAAGTTGAGGAGGGAGGGCAAAGAGTTACACGAAGGCAGACCAGGTGGGAGGGAATACCAGGACACGGAGCAAGTGCAAACAGGGTGGGGAGGAGTGAGAGGAAACCCACTGTGCTACGAAGCCCACAGAGGACAGGTCTTCTGAGCTGCCTGGGAAGGGACTCTAGAGGAGATGGCACAGGCAGAGGCTCGGAACAAGCTGGTCTCTATGCCAGGTCTCAGATACTTGTGGGACATCACCAATATGCACCAAAAATGGAGGCTAAAATGACATTTGAGTTCTAGTGGCAGCTTTCCCAAGAGATTCACTAGAATGCTGGGTGGCCACAGAGAAACCATCCAATTGTGAGGGGCTCAAAACATGACATCTGATTTGCATATGCTTCTCCTGGCACCCAAAGTGTCCTTCAGAGAGTTTACCCCCTGCCCCCACATCTGAGAGACTGTGCTCCCAGCTGAGGCCTAGAGAAAGACAATTCAATGAAGACCCCGAGAAAGGTGTGCCTGCAGCCAGAGCCCCTGCACCCTGAGGGAGACCAGCCTTGATAAGAGGCAGGGTTGGGGAGCAACTGCCCCAAGGAGCCTAAAACAGCCAGGAACCTGAGGCCTCTCCCAGGTTCTGCTCTGGGTGGATGGTGGAGGTGCCTGGGGGCCACACCAGAAATTTTCACAGTCAGACTGAAGGGTACACAGGGCATCTCCTATCCCTAACTTCGTTTCCTAGAACGCAAATGGGGCAGGAGCAGAAGGTCCCTGAGTAGCAGGTCAGCAGTGACTACCTTCCATAGCTACAGGGAGTGGTGCTGGGAAAAGAGCCTCTCTGCTTCTGACAGCTCAGACCTGGGCAGCTATTAATGGTGCACCCCCTAACTCCTTCAGAGAAAGGGACTGGGGCTGAATGAAGTGCCTCTGGGGGTCTCTTGCACCCCCAGCTCTTTCCTGGGCCTCAGAACTTGACCCCAAACCCTTGGTTTTTCATTTTCCTTAAAGAAAAATAATCAGGCCAGGCTAGGTAAGGCAGGCTTGGAGGGGCAGGCTACCCCTATTCTGGCTGCCAACAGCTACCTGTTCATCTCCTGAAGTCCTGACCTCCCAGGACCTGGCACCAACCACATGGAGCCTGAGCAGGCAGAGTTCTGAGGGTGTCAGTAGGATAACTAAGACAGATGACCCAAGCCAGTAGGGTTGGAGCACAAGGGCAATCTTGTGTCCAAGGCACCCACACAGGGGTCTGGGAAAGACCAAAGCAGAGCACTTTGGGTAATAAAAGTAAGTCCATTGTTGGCTCAGGTCTAGCCCCAAGAGCCCTATGCTGTGGCTCTAGGGCAGCCAGCCCCTGTCCACCCTCGGCATATTCCTGAATGCTGGTGCCTCACAAAGCCAGTCACTCAGGAACCCAGGCCTGTTCTTGTAGTGGAGGCTGTTGGACTGTCCCTCCCATCCACCCATCCATCCATCCATCCATCCATCCATCCATCCATCCATCTATCCATCCATCCATCCACCTATCCATCCATCTATCCATCCATCCATCTATCCATCCATCCATCCATCCACCTATCCATCCATCTATCCATCCATCCATCATCCACCCATTCATCCACCTATCCATCCATCCATCTATCCATCCATCCATCTATCCATCCATCCATCCGTCCACCTATCCATCCATCCATCCATCCATCTATCCATCCATTCCATTCCATTGCTTCTCCCATGCTGAAAGTCTGGGTGAGACACTTGGAACCAAAATACTTGGCTCAAGGGATACTACTTTAGTTGAATAAGATGATCCCAGACTACCTAGCTATGATCCATTTCCTCAAAATAGACCTGGCTTGTCATGCCTGGGCCCTTCTGCACCTCAGTAGCCTGCCAGCAAGTTCTGTCTGGCCATATTATTTATAATAGGAACCAGTCCCACCCCCTCCCCAGGGGCTGGGGCCACAGTGGTCAGATTGTGGGAGCCTTAGAAAAATAAACTTGTTCCAGCCAGCCAGGTCCTGGCAGCCCTGCCCTGTGCATCACTAGACAGGCCAGCTCCATGCTCTGCCCCAGCTAATGTGGGCACAGCTGCCTCTAGCCAGAAAAACACTCCTGGGATAACTTCCTCAGAAGTAAATGCCCAGGACAAGGACTGGACCTTCTCATCAATTTCTTCCCCAGACAGGGCCCAGGCTTATCTTTGGGGAGGATGGAGAGGATGGATGGGGAGGCTGGGGAGGCTGGGGAGGCTGGGGAGGCTGGGGAGGATTCAGCACATGCTCGGGTGTTTGAGATGCCTCTGCCTCTGCAATCAGGAGGCAGGAGAAGGAAACCCAGGGTTTCTTAGGAGTACCCAAAGAGGCCTAGGTCAGAAGCACAGGGTGACTCTGGGTAGCCATGGCTAAGACCTTCACTTCACCTTCCCCCAGTACCCAGTGTGATCAGAAAGACTAACAGACAAGATTGGCTATAAAATTTGTGGGGCTAGTACAAATAAAATACCAGGCTTTGTGTCCACATTACTAAGGAGTTGACAGTAAAGCATTACACCAAGCATGCACAAGCCATGTGCAACTGTGTAAAGTCAGTGTCACTAGGGAGGTCACCTCAGGCTTTTGCAGGAGTCTCTTCTGTGAGACAGGCCTAATATTTGGGTACCATTCAACCTGGCTGAGACCCTACCCTAGTCAAACCTACTCTGACATCCACGTACAGTCATCACGCTGTGCTGTGTCTTCAACTGCCGTGTACCACGGACACGGAAGGAGATTGAGGCCCGGTACCTACAGCGAAAGGCGGCCAAGATGTACACAGACAAGCTGGAGACAGTGCCTCCTCTCAATGAACTCACAGAAATCCCTGGAGGTGAGTAGATTCCAGTCCCATCACAGCCAGCGCTGGATCCTGCAGCAGACCCTTTCCTCAATCCCACTGCCCTAATTCACCGTTTCTTCCTGCAGCTGGCTCAGAGAAGGGACTGGGTACTATCCCAGGAGACTAGAGTGCAGAAACTGGTCAGAGCCAGGCAAATAAATAAGGAGCCCATTTGTAGTAGGGAAATTGGGCGGGGGGTGTAGAGGAGGCTCTGTCAGTAAGGTCTTTGCCATACAAGCACAAGGACCTGACTTTGGATCTCCATCACCCACGAAAAACGAAACAAAACCCAGGCATGATTGTGCACCTGTAAACCTCAGTGCTGGGGAGACGTAACACAAGGGTTCCTTCACTCACTGGATTACATCTTGCCAAATTGGTGATCTCCAGGCCTCTTTAAAAAATATGATAGAGAGCCAAAGAAGACACACAACATCAACCCCTGGCCTCTGTGTACATGCCCACACACGCACCTCAGATAATAAGGATCTGGGAAGGCGGGGTGGGAAGGGCAGGAGAGGAGAGCTTTGGGAGCTTTTCCCATCTCAACACTGTGACCTCTTCCCCCTACCCACAGAGGATAAGAAGAAGAAAAAGAAGGACAGTGTGGACACAGTGGCTATCAAGGTAGAGGAAGATGAGAAGAACGAGGCAAAGAAGAAGAAAGGAGAGAAATAAGGAAGGGATCCTGGAGGTGGCCGCCGGGGTTGGAAGGCCTTGAAGCCCAAGTTCAGGCCAAGATCCAGGCACCAGGATTCCGTGTTCATACATGGACCACAGAGGCTATGGTCTGAGAAGCCAAGGCCATGGCCATTACCTCAAGGCCCAAAAGGTGTGGGGACAGGACTCCACGAGTGTCCTTCCTTTCACCTCATCAGCCTGGGCACTGTCCCTCTGCAGACACAGAGTGGCCTCAAACTCCTCCCCACATCCAGACAGGCTTCTGTCCCACCCTTTCTGCCAGGGGCAGAGGTGACTGTGACTGTGAGGGAGTCAGGGACCGGCAGTTTGAGATGGTAGGACTGAACAGGTTGTGTGTGAACCCGTAAACATGGAGGAAGGGCTGACAGGGAACTGGTGACATGAGAGATTCTCTGACATAGCTAGACAGCAGCCCTGATAGCAAGGAAATTGCTTCAAGCTTGGCAGGAATCTGTTCCTGGCTGCCAAAGTGGAAGAACTTTGCCACAGCAGTGTGAAGATCTTCTGCCATGTCCCCTACTAGAAGCATCTCTGCCAAGAGGACTATTAAAATGCCATTGAGGGGCTGACTCTAGAGAAGAGAGATGTATGCAGTGCTTCCAACATCAAAATGAGTAGCTCTGACCAGAGGTGGGGACCTTCCAGGTGGGAAGCCTGCTAGAAGGGTGTCTCGAAGAGATCTGTCAATAAAGCTGGGTGCCTGCTCAGCCCCAGACACATAAAACTCCATCCTGAGATGAACTCCACCCCTGTCCCATGCTTTGCCAAGCCCTGGAGGATTCCTGTGGAAGGTGACACAACAATCCGCAACCTATGTGCCTCAGACAAGCCTGAAGTTCTCTCCCTGACCCCTATCCCAGACTGAGACCAAAAAAAAGGGGGGGAGTGGGGTGGGGTGGTGGTGGGGAGCTGGAGAGATGGCTCAGCAGTTAAGAGCACTGACTGTTCTTCCCGAGGATCCAGGTTCAATTCCCAGCACCCACATGGCAGTGCACAACTGTCTGTAACTCCTGTTCCAGGGGATCCAACACCCTCACACAGACATACATACTGGTAAAACACCAGTGCACATAAAATAAAAATAAATCATTAAAAAAAAAAGCCTAGAGGCCGAGGAGCAGTGAGAAGCAGTTGCAGCCACTCCACCCCACTAAGTGGCCTTGGGTCGGGAGGGAGACCCCTGAGGCTCCTCTGAGCTCTCCTCCACTTGACCAACCACATGCTCTCAATAGGTCTTTGGTCCTGGGACTCACGGGAATCTTCCTGACAAGGTTCCACATCAACATCCCACAAGGAGAAGCATGCCAGGCTGACAAGGAAGGGGCACTGAGGGGCAGAGGGTCACAGGAGGCCCCCATCATAGAAGTAGATGAGTACCCTGACTACCCACGTGCAATTGGCTGACCTTCTGGCTCTAGTGCATGGGCTTCTCATTCATAGAGCTGGCTGGGGTCCTTCTCCCCAGACAGACCACAGTCCCTCTGTGTGGCAAGGCAGTGGACATCCAGAGGGTCAGAGGCCACTCAAGGTCACTCAGAGCAGCAGCTGGTGCAGCCTGTGGAAAGTGTGTCTGTTCTACTTTTTTGTACCGGAGCCCCCAAGTCAGAAGCAATGCTACAGGGTCTAAGTACTCTATGGATCTTTGATGACAATATTCTGGAGAGTTCCAGCCACTGGCCAGAAGGCAGTCAAGAGCAGGGAGAGAGTTGGGAGGGGTAGGCGCACACCTTTAATCCCAGCACCGGGAGGCAGAGACACTTGGATCTCCGAGTTTGAGGCTAGCCTAGTCTACAGATTGAGTTCCAGGACAGCCAAGGCTGCACAGGGAAACCCTGTCTCCAAAAAGCAAGCAAACAAACAAACACAAAAGATCAGGCAGAACCCAATTCCCACTCAAGTCCTACAGAAGGAACATGTCACTCTATATCTAGGAGGCTGGGAGGGATGTCCCAGCACCCCCAGCTTTAGCCCAGGTAGTACATCCCAATCTTCCCCCTGCCCCTTCACACACCCCTCTACTTTCTGCAGGAGCCACCCCAAATCTTTAGAGGCCTACACTTTTCAGTATCAGTGCCCCACACCGTTGTGTACACCTGCTTCCCACTAGAGCGGGCTCAGAAAGAGGAGGCATGGGGAAAAGAAGTGTTTAATCTCTGCTAGCCTCTGCTGATTGCCACACCCACAGTGGCACTCAGTGTCACAGAGTGCCAAGAAGGCTGAGGAGCAGAAGGAAAGCCAGGAGCAAGGTCCTGGAAGGGGCTGTAAGGTCCAGGGCCTCCCCACTAAGGCGGTCCCAGATCCACGGCTGGAAGGTGGAGACCTGCAGAAAGATGGGTGGGGCCTCACTCTTCTTGCAGCCTGGGCCCCAGCTCATCATTCCCACCAGGTACCATGTGCCATCCGAAGAGCAGACCAAGGGCTCACCAGTTAGCTCCTGAATGGAGAGAGGAAGTTAAAAGGGTCAGGGAGGTGAAGCCACGCCTAAGAGAGACAACCCCACTCGCCCAGGGTGTTTGGCACCAGATTCTTGGCATACCCTCCAGGTATGAATACAGCAGCTCCTGACCCACCATTTCCTCCTCACAGGGGCGCTCACCACTCCTTAGCTCCACACACCTCTCCCAGCCACTTCCTTTCCATCCCACCCAGTCCACCCCTTTCTAGCCCCTACATCCCTGCCCTCACAGGCCCTCTCCATCCTTTCCCCCTCCCCCCACCCCCGCTTATATTTCCCATCCTCCCCATTCCCCTTCTCCACAGCCCTCAGCTCTGCCTCCTGCACCCCTCCACCCCTGGGCCATCAGAACACATGAACAGGGGAAGAGGTCCTCACATAGCAGAACTTTTCCCTGTTGTCATCTGAGGCACAGATCATCTGAGAGTTGATGATCCGGACCAGAGAGGGGATTCTGGAGAACTTGTGGTTGAATTGCTCACATTTCCTGCTATTCATGATGAAGACGTCCTTCTCCTGAAGGGTTTGGAACTGGGGCCACCTGTCTGTGGGACAGGTCTCCATTCAGGTTTAGCCACTGGTTGCGGCCCACAGCCACCAGCTCTGCCTCTTTTGCATAGTGGCCACAGAGAAGTCTCCATGTCTGAGGTATTTTGTCCCTCCAGCCAGCAGGTCCCAAAATTGCCCCCAAACAGAGGTGCTGGGACAGACAGTCCACACGGATTGGCTCTGCTAGTCGTCTTCCAAGAGCCTGCCATGCTCTCTGGGACAAAGCCTTCCCTTTCAAAGCCATCCCTAGAGCCTC